AATCCTATATAAACCCCAGCAGCTTTTTGTAGACACAGACAGGTTTTCTTAAAGTTTATATGCTAATATATGGGATCCAGGTTAAGGAAAATAGTTTTGAAAAAATGGGAGAAACCACTGAACTTGATATTAAGACTTTGTAGATATCTACAATAATCATGACTGTGTGGTTCTGGTGGAAGAATAGACAAATCAACAGGATATAGAAACCAGAACTCAACCACACAAATGCACGAAACCAAATGACACTAGAACAAATTAGACATCCATAGAAAAGATATGAACATCAAACACCTTTTATGTAAGAATTAACTAAAAATACATCATAGATTTAAATGTAAAAATTAAGACTGCAATGCTTTCAGAACAAAAACACAGGAGAAAATGTTTTGTATCTGGACCTAGTCAAAGAGATATTAGACTTAATATGAAAATATTATCCATAAAAAGAAATTTTGAGTGCTGGGTGTGGTGGTGCATGCTTATGGTCCCAGCTACTCAGAAACCAGAATAGGAGGATGACAGTATGAGGACACCTTGAGCAAATAAACTACAAGCAAAACAGTCAGTACCCCTACAAAACCAAAAACGAACTTTGGGAATGGCTCAAGTTGTAGAGTGCTTCCAAGTAAGTGCAAATCCATGAGTTCTATTCCTAGTATCACACAGACAAAAAGACATTTTGAAAATTGGGTATTATCAAATGAAATCCTTATCTTCTGTAGAAGCTCATGATAAGAGGATGAGAAGGTAAACCACAGAATGAGAAAATGGATTGCAAAGGTATACAGAGGATAAATATGTTCATGAGAAGAAGGGAGATATTGTTAGGACGTGGTGTGGTGATCATGCTTCTTATTCCAGCACTTGGGAGGCTTAATGAAGAGAATTATGAATTTAGGGACAGACTTGTCTACCAAAGCAAGTCTCTATCTCAAAAAGTGGATGAGAAAGAGGGAGGAAAAGGAGGAGGATGAAAATGCAAGAAACAAACAATCAGAAGTTAGGTATTAAGGAAATGTAAACTCAAACCACAGTGATTTATAAGTGTACATCTACCAGAATTATTAAAGTTAAAATATAATGATGACAAATGGTGACAAAGACATAGAAAATCTGTAGCTCTTGAATATTGGTGACAGGAATACAAATGAATATAATTGTTCTAAAAAGAATAAGTTTAAAATGAAGCACACAACCCAAGAACTGAACAGTTGGACTTTCATCCAAGAGAAATAAAAATGTGTTTATGCAAAAATCTCTAGAAAAATATTCGTTGTAACTTTATTTGTAGTAGCCAAAGTAAGGGATAAACCCTTCAATGGATGACTGGCTAAACACAGCTGTACTATGGATGAACATTTAACAATTAAAAGGAGCATGCTATTGATACCTAGAACAATTTGGATGGTTTTTTCCCCAGAGGAATACGTTGTGTGGAAAAGCCATTGTCCAAAAGTTTCATGCAGGGCTGGAAAGGTGGCTCAGTGGTAGAGTGCTTGCCTTGCATGCCTGAGGCCCTGGGTTCGATTCCTCAACACCACATAAACAAAAAGAAAAACGCTGGAAGTGGCGTTGTGGCTCAAGTGGTAGAGCGTTAGCCTTGAGCTGAAGAGCTGAGGGACAACGCCCAGGCCCAGAGTTCAGGCCCATGACCGGACCCCCCCCAAAAAAATTGCCAAAACAAAAGTTTCATGCAATATAGTTCTGTGCAATATTAAAATGATGGCAAACTGGTGGCTGTCAAGGGTAGAGGAGGAAGGGAAAAATGGGTGTGGCTACAAAAAGCTACTATGGAATCTTGGTGGTGTTATCACATGCTGTGTCTTGATGGGGTGGTGAGCCTACACATGATACAATTATATACATCTCTACACACAAGCAAATGAGTATATTTAAAACTGATGAAATCTGGGTAAGGTAAAGAGATTTTTTTATCAATGCCAATTACCTAGCTGTGATGATAAGTTTCATTTATGTATAATGCTCCTTGGGAAAACTGGGTCAAGGGTATTTACTTCTTACAACTTGTGAATTTTTCATTATCTCAAAATATTTTTTAAAGTAGCATGAACAGAGAAAAAAGGCATGATCATCAGTTTTGTTAATATAAGACCTGGTAGGAAGTTAATGTTGGATGTATACAAATAGGATTGTCAATCAAGACTCAAGTAAAAGAGTGACACCATTTACACTGATGGAGGATCTTTCAAAGAATGCCAGCATCCTCCGCTCATATACACCTGCTTGCAAAGCTACAGAAAATCTTAAGCAAGTTTGATTAGACTAATAGAACTAATTGACATTATTAAGTTGCTTTAAGTGACTAGTTTTGGGGATTTCTTATGCAGTACTGTAAGTGTTACATCAACCAATGGGAGTGAGAAGTTATTACTCAAATAGAATATTGAAGGTTTAAATCTCAATGAGTATTTATTTTAATGCTAGTATCCATGCTTGTCTCAGATTAGTTCTCAAAACTTTTTTTCTGAATATTGTAAGCATGTTTGAAGTGATAATGTGGACTGGGGAACACACACACAAAGAAAACTAAACAGCCCATGTTCTCACAGTTTAGTGAGACAAAATATTAGCACATTAAAGCAGCTCCAAAACAGCTATAAGGCAACAAATCTCCAAGCTCAGACTAATCCATTACAGCCCAAATTGAATGCATATGTCAATGTATGGCTATCTAAGCAGGAGGTAGTTCTTGACATTTTGCCCTGCATACATTTCAGAGAGGCCTTGCTCTCCTTTATGAACAGTGAAATAAACTTCTCCAGCAATGATTGGGTTAGGTGGATGATATTGGACCTTCCGAAGACAGAAACAAGAAGGTAACTTCCAGGGGTTTTTGTTCTTTTCATTTTCCTTTGGTCTCTGCTCCTTAATACAGGATGTGTGTGAGTGTGTGTGTGTGTGTGTGTGGAGGTGGGGGGGTGAAACTATAATTTTCTTTTTTAAAAAAAATTGTGAAAATACTGTGCAGAGGGTTTACAATTACATGGCAAGATAATGAGTACATTTCTTATTAAGCATTGTAGCTTCCTCCTTTGTTTCCCCTTTCCATCCCTTCCCATCCTCTCCCTTCTCCCCACCTAATCCTCCTCTCCCCTTCTCCCCACCTTACCAAAGTTGTAAAGTTCCTTTTTCGACATAATGACTTGTACATCTCATTGTTGCAATGAGTCTACCTGTATCCCTATTTAAACGATTTGTTTTTTCCCTTCCCCTCCACAAATTATACCAACCTCAAATACAGTGAAGCAGGGGTTATACCATGGAGGAGGGACATACAAAGCAACAAAGAAATAATCTTATAAATATGTTAGAAACAATTGCATGAAAGAAAAAACGTTTGAATACATATCTTAGGGTTCATTTCCCTAACATCAACTTATCTGACCTTTTCTGTTTGACTCAGACATATACTAATTATTCCAAATAAGGGAAACCATGGGACCTATGTTTCTTTGGGTCTGGTTTACTTCACTTAATATAATTTTTGAATCTACAATTTTCTTGAGCATCAGTATACTGGAAATAGAAAGTAATGGGCTCAAAGCCAGGAAATACGAACTTGAATGTGCAGTCTTTCATTTAGTAGCTGTGGGACCTGAGATTCATTAGTCCCCACATCCAATTCTCTTTCTGTAAAATAGACTGAGATGAATGGCTTAGAATGTCCCTAGCACCTCACATCTGAGGGCACTGACAGTTCAGTTTGTTCTAAGGGTTGGAAAACTAATACAATGTGCTGTTATGAAAATGCTGTATAATTTTATTCACATTTTAGGATGACCAATACCCAGTTCATGTAGAAAAAAATCATACAGCTCTCTTCAGAGGCTTAAAGTGTTCATGGAGAGTGTCCATAAAGCAAATGCTTTCCTTAAGGAATATTGGGAAATGAAGAGAACCAGAAAAAGGAGGAGGCAGATTTTAAAAAAAGGGTAATGGAGATGAATATAATCTAAGTTCTTCTTACACATGTGTAAAAATAAAACCCATTATTCTGTACAAATAATATATTATTTATTTTGTATTGTTACTATGTATACAATTAATATATTGTACTTTTTATATGGACATACAAAAAGTTTTAAAAAAAAAAAGATGAAGTACTATCGTAGGCCTTAGATGACTTTTGATGTTTCTTTGCAAGCATACTTTATGGAATGAACACTTCCTTGGAGTAGTCTGTATCACATAAGGCATAAGCAGTGTTGTGATTTTAAGATTGGACCTTATATCAATTTTGAATGTTATGGACCACTAAAACAGTGGTAGGGTGAGAGTAACTTTAGCGGGGTCCATTTCCATGTTGCTTGGGAGCCCTCTTTGTAGCAGAAAATGGATTTGTAAGCCCCCTCCAGCCTCATTTTCCCTAGCTTCACCTTGCCCACCAAAGTATGTTGAGGATATGGCAAATGCCCCCTAAATAATACTTGGCGGGTTCATGCTTCATTTACATGCTGCACACAGACCAGGAGAGCAGGGAAAGGTCATTGTCCCACAAAAGAAAGGGTGCAGGGTTTCTGAGCCAGAGAGTCAAGGGAAGGCTTGATCTCCCTGGTGTTCGCCAGTGGCAAAGAGCTCTCGGGTGCATCCAGTGCAGAGGGGAGGGGCGGGGGACCAGAGCAGCTGTGCGGTCCCTTTAAGACCCCAAGGCTTGCCGAGCCAAAGGAGAGGGGGAGTGGGGGCGCTGTGTGATGGGAAAGTGGCCGGCTGAGCCACACACTTTCTCCTGGTTTTAAACTATCAGGTCGGGGGAGCAGGAATAAAGCTGTATTGTAAGACTGGCCAGGGGTGCGTGCTTGCGGGCTTACCGCCTGCGCAGGGCTGCGCCTCCGGGTTGAAGTGGGGAGCCGGCTGGCGGACCGGCGGGCAGGTGGCCCCAGGCTGCCGCGCCCGCGCCTAGGCTCTGCCCACTGGAGGGGAGCAAAGAGGGGAGGGAAGGGAGCTGCTACTCCCTCGTGGTGTGAGGGCGGTGATGTTTTTCCTCCCACCCACTTTGGAGTCCCCCCACCTCCTGCGCGCACTCTAACTCCACCACAACCTGCGAGTCTCAGACCTCGGAGGAGCGCCCCGGAGAGTTCAGAGCGCGTGCACGCGTGGCAGACAGAGGCGGCCAGTGATCAGGTCAGTGAGTAAGTGCCCTGTGCCCTCTTCTTCCACTTTCCTTGCCAGCTTTTGCACAGGTGGGGTATCTTTGGTTGGCCTAAGCAGCTCTGCAAGTTACTCGGGGCTCCTTGAACTCTTACATACTATTGCAACCGTTCAAAGCTTCAGCTGCCAGTAACCAGGATGAAGGTAAAGGACAGGGCATTGGGCCTACACAGATTGGGGGCTTTAGATTCGAACCCACTACCCGTCACTCTGCCTGGCCTGTAGTTTTACATAGGATCTTATGCTTTAGGAAGCAGATCTATCAACTTACCTAAGGGACTTGGCCTCCTTCCTTTATTACAGCCTGTGTCCAGGAGCCTGTTTTCTCATTAACTGTTGTGCTTTGGACCAGTAGCTGATTAATACGAACTAAAGTTAATGAAACAGGGTGAATGGACCTGAGGCTCCTCTTACCTCTGGGAATCTGCCACATTCTCTGTCCAGACTACTAGGGACACAGTTTGAGACTCGGAAAGTGGTATTGCCCGAACACAAGGCCTGGAAAACCTGCCTCCCACTGCCTCAGTCTTGCCACTAACTCAACTCATTTGAGTTCTCTCTCCCCTCCCCCACTACCCATTTATTTTGAAGGCATAGTTGTGTGAAATGAAGTGAAATTATAGGTAGGGATGTGTCTTCCAAGCCAAATGCAAAGTGGGCATTGTTTACCAATCATAAGGGGTGATAAAGGCATTACCTCTGACAAGATATACCTAGTGCTAAAACAGCTATTTTCAGTGACAACCCACCAGGAATTAACTGAGCTTTTCTTGTTGGGTGGTAGTGTGGGGAGAGAATTTGAGCTGATGGACAAGAGCTTGAGACTCTGGTGTCTTTTGTATTGTTCGTCAGAAGGAAATTGCTACTCTAGGGGCTATTGGACAGATGATAGTGAATATGAGATTACAAGGTCAGTCAAGCCTCTGAAGGCTTAAACAGACATCATTGGGTGTGAAGAACTGGCTGACATATGCTCACCCCTTTGCTTTGTTTTGAGATACCGCTGATCCAGTTCTACTCAGGAGAACTGTTCTGAGAGTGGGTGCCTGTCACTTGATGGCTCAGATTGCTTTGCAGTTAAAAAGAGCAGTTGATCTCTTTGCTGGATGCAAAGAAACAACATGAATGTTATTATAGGCATAAGTGAATACCTTTTCCTTGGCATCCAACACATTTCTTGCAAAGCAGAGCACACATGCTCCCATCCAATCCTCACTCCTACTGTTAGTTGCAATTTTGTTTGTTGCTTTTTGGTTCCCAGATCTCCCCCAAAACATGTTGGTGGCTACATTTCTAAGTATCCTGCAATTTCAATGGTACAATGGCCTGTGTGAAGCAGACAGAGTTAATGCCGAAATAACTCCAGTTAACTGGGTCAAAGTATAATTTGAAAAATTTAGGACAGTTTGGCTCTTTGCAAGAATAGAGTTGGATGTTTCCTGAGCAATGTTTGCAGTGTTTATTGCTGCTGTCCCAACAAATATCTTGAACCACCCCACTCCCCCCAAATTAAAAGGTAAAGAAGAGAAACTGAAAAATGGTGAGAACTGGGGAAGAAACTCTTTGTGGTTTCTATTTCTGCAAGAATACAAAGGCAGGGCTTCAGAATCTTGTAAATCAAAAAAATGAATATTTATAACATGATTCACTTTCTGATGTTCCCTATCACCACCTAGGAGGCCACACAAATGACAGGAATGCCAAAAGAGATTAATTACTCTAGTCACCAACTTTTCTATTTGCTCATAAAATTAGTAGGGACCCAAGAAAAGCAAAAAAAAAAAATCTAAGGGCTATTTTCTTGCCAGCTTGAGTTATGAAGCAATGCTACTGTTCACTGAATCGCCCAACCATTGTACAAGAATAACAGTCCTGTTGATCCTTGCATAGGGAGATCTAAAAGCCATGGTTTCCAAAACACCCCTTGAGATCTATATACGATTGTAATAAATTAGATTTTAGAAGTTAAAAATTCTGTCTTTTGGGGGCTGAGGGAACAACCTTAGTAAAATAATCTCAGGAAGAAAGTTACTAAGGTGGTTAGCTGTGTTAAATTGTTCATGCAAATGCCTTGCTTCAAAGGAATGGTAGCTCTCAGAGCACAGAGACATTCTGAAAGTGGATCACAGACTCACAGAACTGACCAAGCTATCAGAACTCAGGCCTTTGAAAGACTAGGAACATGCACAGGGAGAATTGGATCACTGGTTAAAGTGCCAGGAGATGACAGAGGAGAGAGGAAAAAGAATACTGCCAGGCGCCACAAATTCTCTCTGATAGCACAAATTATCTCTGGGATCAATTTGCCATCAGCTACGTACTCATAATTTTAAACAATTGATTTTGACTGGTCCTGGAAACTTTATGGCATTGAACAAATCGTTTAAATAGGGATACAGGTGGACCCATTGCAGCAATGATATGTGCAAGTCCTTATGTTGAAAAACCAACTTTACAACTTTGGCAGGGAGCACGGAGGGAGATGGGAAGGGTTGGGAGAGGGAAACAAAGGAGGAGGCAACAATGCTTGATAAGAAATGCTTGATAAGAAATGTACTCATTACTTTGCCCATGTAATTGTAACCCCTCTGTATGGTACTTTCACAATAAAAAAATAAATAAATAAATTGAAGCTGTAACATCAACTTCATAGGCAAATGAGAATTCATTTTCCCAGTTGGGCATCTTCTTTCAAATTCTTGATGTTTGCTGTGTTCCTACCAATTCTTAATTCAGATTGGACTCTGAAAATATCACTGAATTCAGTTCCTGACCCCTGATTGAATGCGGTATTTTTTCAAATATTTAAGAATTTTCCAATCTCCTGTGGGAAGAGCTTTGCAAATCTATGGAAATGACTTGTGACTAGATACATCATTTGTGTGTGTGTGTGTGTGTGTGTGTGTGTGTGTGTGTGTTCAAGGATCTAAAGGCTTAAGGTTTTTTCTCCTTAGCCTGCAAATGCCAGTGTCACATTTTAGAGAATTGTAGTTGCTTTAGCAGTCTTTTGCATGGTGGTGTCAGAGAAACAATTTCCATTAAAATAGCTCATTTTAAATTATTTCTCTATGGACTTGACGTAGAGGAGTATGTCTGAACCTTTTCAAGCAATAAAACTTTTCAGGTGTTGAATTACATCCACTTACTAATTACAGCTATCTTTTATAACATAAGACACATATCCATATAGATCATTGCTAGGACACAGGAGAAACTGATCTCTGATACAATGCATGATGGCAGTAGTGTGAAGCTAGTTGTCTAACTTCTATTTAGACATTACTTTTGGCCTCTATTACTTTTCACTCTGATTGTCAAAATAACCCTTTGCAAAGTTTAACACCCCCCCATCTCTTGAGAAATCAACATTCATTCCCTTAGCAGGGAGGATTTCAATTTTTTTTTTGTTTTCCTGTTACTTGCTCATAAAGATCTCCCCCTTAGTGTTCAACAGAAATACATAGTCACTCACTTGAATTTTCTCTTACAATCATTGCAAGACAGGAGAAGCAGGTCCTTTCTCCTAAGCAGACAAATAATGCTTGCAAGGAGGATCTCAATTCTCCAGCACTTTTTTTCTAGCAAGTTAGAAGGCTATGTGTCAGTGAGGTCCATCAGTTCCAAGGACTCTTTTTTAATTCTTTATATTTCTGCTTTTTTTTCCAACAGCTTGAGTCCACCATACCTTGAAGGCTCTGAGTTGTGTTTTGCAGTAGCCCAAATGTGGAAAAAGTTCAAAAGAGGAGGCATGAAATACATCTTTTCTTTGTTGCTGCTCTTGGTCTTTCTCGAAGGAAGTAAAACAGAGCAAGTGAAACGTAAGTGTCTGAAGTTTCAAAACTGAGAAACTGTCTGCTAATTTCTTTGTAAGTGTGATTATAACCAATAGATATGGTAATTTAGCCAAAATGTGGCCATGCCATTATTCTGATAAGAAAGTAAATTTTAGTGGTTTATGCATGAGTTGATGGAAGAATGAGAGCTTTGAATTAGACCAGATCAATGTGGAGCTATTTTTCTGATTCTCATACAGTTTTCATATCATAGAACACATACTGCATTAAGTCCATTTCCCCTTTCCTGTTCTAAGCTGCACAACTCTCATTCCATTTTACATAACTCTACAAATATCTGACAGATGAGCTGGATTTTTTCCCAAAATTCAGTCTCTTCAGCAAAGCTTTTCGTTTTATGAAAACTGAAGAACAGGGGAAAGAGAAAAATTAAAGCAGGTTCTGTCTATTCCCTTATGCACAAAAAAAGAAGAAGAAGAAATCTTTACATTGACTGGAATCAGATGAAAAATCCTTTGAGGAATTGAAATTCTAAGAAAAGTTAGCAAATTGAATGCAATTTCTTGAAATGAAGTGTTTGCAAAGCCAAGGAATATTGCTAGAAAGTCAGCAATCTGAATGATGGGTTAATACATTGGACAAAGTAGAGAGAAAGGGAGGGAGAGAGTAGTTAACTCTCCTTGCTGCCACATTTGGGAAATTTATGAGTAACGCTTGTAATATATTGCTGATTTTGTACAGAGTGGCCTCACCTTCTTGGGGCCATTGGCAGCCCATTCTGAGGTAAATGCTTGTACTAAATTTGAAAGAAAACCCAGAGCTCTAGTTCTCCCTTTGTGGCTACATCGAAAAGAAACACAAAGTGAATTGGTCCAAGAGTTGCATTCTCTGCTCCAATGAACTTATTCATGAGAAGGAGCTGTGAAAATGTTCTTGGTAGGAGCTACAGCAGCATCTGAAGCCCATCACTTGAACATTTATCTTCTTTATCAGCCGAAGTTAAATATATGAGACTGAATACTTGCTGACAAAGAATGAGTTTCCAAGCTGATTCCATTTTCAAGTGTATTTCTGTTTTACTATGGTTTTTTATTGTAAGGTGATTTTTCTTCCCATGAGAAAGAGTAGCTTTGATTAGGTATTTAAGCTTGAATATCTACTATAATTGAGACACAAAAGCAAGTTTAGCAGGGCATAGCCACATGAAGCCTTCATCACCTTCTCTCTTTATATTCCTAAAACTACCTCCTTCACCTTCCATTTAAGTATAGTCCATGTTAGCATCCTTATCTTCCAAAAATCCTCCTTGATTTAAATGACTATGATGGCAATATTTTTTATTCATTCTCAGCTCAACTCGCAATCATAGTTATTAAAATGATGAAAAGGGTAGCACTGCATTCATAAACTGCTTTTTTGAATGGCAACCACTTAGTAAAATTACTGTGGAGGAAAGATTGTAACTCTCATTAGACCATCTCTTTTGGGAAGTTTTTCATATTTATGAAGAATTGGGGGATAATTTCCATGTAATATCAATCTTGACAAACCAAGGGAAAGTGTTTATAGACCAACAAATGTAGACCAAATCTAATATTTGCTAATGTTTCCTGGTGCCTATAAGGGTTTCCCAAACCATTTTAATATTTAGTTGATACTAAAGTGATTATGTGATGGATGGACCAAGGCACCAGCTCTGGTCTAATATTTCAAGATTATAGTTATTAAGAGATGGAGCAAAGGTTATGGATATTTCCTAATCCATGTTGCCACTCTCCCAAACATGCACAAAATCATCTCCAGTGAAGAAGAAACCTAAAGAATACTTCCTATGTATGTTAACCCCCCCCCCCACGGACACAGTATGCATGTGCAGGTATTTATATTGCAGCTCTAACAGTGAAAACTTAGAAGCAGTCGCTAGGGGACATGTCAATCCATAGGGCAGTAGTTACATAAATTATCTAAGTACTGTAATATGTTAAAAATACTACTCATTAGCAGGGCGCCAGTGGCTCACGCCTATAATCCTAGCAACTCAGAAGGCTGAGATCTGAGGATCGTGGCTCAAAGCTAGCCTGGGCAGGAAAGTTCGTGAGACTCTTATCTCCAATAAACTACTAGAAAATCGGAAGTAGCGCTGTGGCTCAAGTGGTAGAGCACTCGCCTTGAGCTGAAGAGCGCAGGGACAAGTGCCAAGCCCAGAGTTCAAGCCCCACGACCAACCCCCCCCCAAAAAAAATACTACTAATTGATCTGGGTACCAGTGGCTCATGACTTTAATACTAGATACTCAGAAGGCTGAGTTCTGAGAACTGGGGTTCAAAACCAGCCCAGACAGAAAAGCCCAGGAGACTCTTATCTCCAATTAACAAACAATAACCCATTGAGCTGTGGCTGACGTTTTAAAGTGCTAGACTTGAGCACAAAAGCTCAGGGACAAGACCTAGGCCCTGACTTGAAACCCCACAACCAGCCCCCCAAAATATGCATTAAAAATGAGGTAGCCTTGGAAAAATCCTTATATAAGGATTTTTTTATTTTTAAATTTTTAAATAGCAAACTTTGTGTGTGCTCCCTATAGAAAACTATTGAAAGTATTTAGACTTCATAAAGTACACATACCACTTAACTCTTTCACTTTCTAGTAGTTTTTTCTGTGTTCTTCCTATCTTTACTCCATTACAAAACCATACATACAAGTCTGTACTTTTTACCTTTTTCAAAAATTAAATACTATACACATTTTCCTGTAACTTGTTTTACTCAACAATGTGTTTAAATATCTTTCAGTATAAGAACATTACATTCTAGCAGTGTTGTTTTCTTTCTAATGTTTTTATACTTTCCAGTTGTGTTTAAGTGGGTCAAGTTTTATTTAACCAGTCTTTATTTGTAGATATATAGGATGCTTACAGCTTTTGCTATTAAAGGTAAGGGATTAATAAACACCTTTAGATATTAATGAAAGTATTTGTGAGAAAGTGTTAGGCACATCAATTGTCAAAGTATGTTAAGTTTTAATCTTGGTCAATGCTGCCAAATTGCTCTTGAAATGTTATGTTAGTTGACTTCCCCACTATGTATGGCTGAATGTCTACTTAAAATTCTTTCACCAAGATTATTTTTAATTCTTGTATTTTGGAATCATATTTCACCTTTGTTTTGATATTTTCTTATTACCATAGTGTCTTTTAAACTGCATTTTAGTTAAATTGAATTTCTTCTGGATTGCTGATTTTTTTCATTCATATTGCATTTCTTTTTATTTAAAAAAGCTTATTCAATTGGATTTTTTGTGATTCCAAATTTTGCTTTAACTTTATAGAATTTGTGCTTTCATATCCACATTTTACTTTTTTTTGTAGTTAGGTTGTCATTCACTTTATTTCTTTTTTTTTTGCTGAATTTCTTCTTCCTAGGAAGACCTTTCCTATCTTATATTCTTGCAATGGCTTCTGCTACTGCCATCATTTAGGAGTTTATCCAGGGTCCTCCATTCCATCTGAAATTTATATTCACATATGGTATGCAATAAGGACATCATTAAAAAAAAACCTCTACATGATAGGTTTCGATGTTATTTTTGTTCTTCTTGTGCTCCCTCTATCTAGTCCAAAGTTTTCAAAATTGGCAAGAATTACAATAGGGGAAAAGTCCTTTAAAGTAAAAGGACTTATCATTTCCCATACTTTAACTCTACAAATCTATAGAAAGTTATGATAGTTGATAAATAGAGTTATTTTTAAAATTAAAAAAGAACTGGAAAAATTCAGGAAATGTGAAAATGTAGAAATAATAAACCTTTACATATTTCCTTACTGCCTGTTTCCATTATCTTTAAGGAAGCTCCAGTTTTTAATCTTTCAGGGCTGATTAGAATATAAGATTGTTGGTCAAAAGTGCTGTTCTGTGGCCTATTTGCTCTCCTGTTTGTGGCAACAGGGTGGATTTTCAGTGGTCTTTTTATACTGAAAAATCCAATCTCAGTTGCTGTAGAAATGTGAAAAAGTCTCACAAAAGTTCTTACTTTCCTCCAAGAAATGGTCAAGGTTTGTGCTGCCACTTGCTGCTAGCTAATTAGCCCTAGTTCAGTGCTTTCACAAGTAGGAAGACTCTAGGTACAACAATGGAAGAATGAGCCATTTGTTGCATATGCAAACTGTCCTGCATCAACAAGGTTTGAGATACTTAGCCAGGAAAAGATCTTTCTACAACTCTATTATGTTCCATTGTTCAAATTATAGTCAATGGGGCCAAAAGTTCTTTTGAAGTTCAAAAGAGCATAACATTCTCAGCATAATATTCATGCAAATATGGGACAAATGGGCTGGCATTTCCTCGTTTTAGCAGACCTAACAGTTAATGAATGATTGATCAAAGTGAAATTGAAGAGTTGAGGTTTTAAGAGTATTTAATTTTTCTACTCAAGCTGATTTGAAACTTTGGCAAAGTAGCAGGGTATAAAATTAACCCTCACTTATTTAAAAAAAATTAACCTTCAAAAATCAATGGCTTTTCTTTCTTTCTTTTTTTTTTTTTGGATCCGGTCATGGGGCCTGAACTCTGGGCTGGGCACTGTCCCTCAGCTCTTTAGCTCAAGGCTAGCGCTCTATCACTTGAGTCACAGTGCCACTTCTGGCTTTTTTCTTTTTGCTTATGTGGTGCTGAAGAATCGAACTCAGGGCCTCAGGCATGCAAAGCAAGCGCTCTACCATTGAGCCACCTTCCCAGCCCTTAATGGCTTTTCTGTATGCCAACAATGAGAAGAGTGCAGCTGAAATCAGGAAAGCAACTCCTTTCGTAATAGCCCACAAAAAACAAAATACCTAGGAGTAAACTAAAGAAGTGAAGGACCCCTATGATGAAAACTAAAAACCTAAAAAAGGAAATTAATGAAGAACTTAGGAAGTGGAAAAAACTTCCCATGATCCTGGATTGGGAGGATTAACATCGTGAAAATGGCAATACAGCCAAAGGCTATATAAAAAATCAGTGTAATACCTATCAATATCCCAACCTCA